TACCGAATGAAGTCTTTTCCCGCCATCTACTGGCCACACGGAACCAAAGACAAGATGAATCGATTGACGATTTTTTTCCAAAATCTCGAAAAATTAAGGCGAGACTGCAACTTCAAGGACAGAATGGCTAAGCAAGTCGGCGATGAAGCCGTGTGAGATGCTTTCATATGTGGGATAACGTCACCCCCAATCCGACAGAGATTACTGGAAAATAAAAACTTGGATCTGCAGACAGGTCACGAACAATCACTAACGCTGGATTTAGACCAGAAAAATAATGCGGCTGGCGTTTCTCCCTCGAATTCAGCCATTGCTGTCATTAACAACAGGAGACCACGTGGCTACTCGACAGGCAGTAGTAGTAGTAGTGAAAAAAATAATCAAACCACTGTCGCTGCCACATTCAACCAAAGTTATAACAATTCTTATAAGACTTCCACTACAGCTTCGAATAATAACACCGGTAAAAAGCTTGGTTTTTTTTTTTCTGTGGTATTATACCTTACCATAAACGATCCATTTGTCAGGCGAGTTACGTAATTTGCCATCGCTGTGATAAGCAAGAACAATACCAAAAAATGTATAGGTCATCAAATATGACAACTAATGCTATGATTCATTCAGCTTCTTGTATTTCTGTAAACACTACTGATGTACCAATGGGACTTTCCCATGCTGCTACTTTCGTCACGGTTGAAAATAGAACCTTCAATACTCTAACAGATTCTTGTGCTTCTGAAAATTTTATCAGCAAAAAAGTGGTCGATTTATTGTCTCTGAGGATTTTTCCCTTGTCCAAAATAGTAACTATGACCGAGAAAAGTATTAATAGTCGGTCTAATGGCTTTGTAGTAGATTTTAAACTGGGTCTTAACGATAAATTATATACTTCCGTTCGTTTGTCCATCATGAAGGACCTCTATTGTGATGTTGTTCTTGGACGGGAATTTCAATCCCAACGTCTTAAGGTCGCGTTTGAATATGGCGGTTATTTACCGGAAGTGCCTGTCTTGCCGCTGATATAGCTGAACCAACTTTGTTCCCAGGGATTTCAGCTAAATGCAAACCGATTGCTACTAAATCAAGACGTTTTAGTAATGAGGACTCTGATTTTATTGCTGTGGAAATTAGCAAACTTCTTGAAGATTGGATTATTGAACCCAGTAATTTCACCGTGGCGTACACAATTAGTAGTGGTTAACGATGAAGCTAAAATACAGAAAAAAGCGATTATGTGTGGACTATTCCAAAACCATAAATATCTACACAGAACTAGATGCTTTTACATTACCAAGCATTTCCGATCTGGTTGCAAATCTTTTCAACTTTCGATCTAAAAAGTGCCTGCCATCAAATCAAGCTCAAACAATCTGACAGGAAATATGCTGCTTTTGAAGCAAATGGCCAACATTTTCAGTTTACCTGTCTCCCATTTGGGGTAATTAATGGTGTCCCTGCTTTCCAACGTGCCCTGAATGAAATTGTAAAAGAAGAAAATCTGACTGATACATTTCCCTATCTTGATAATGTGATAATTGGGGATGAAACTGAAGAGGAACATAACAATGGGGAAAATTTTATGAGGATAGTGAGAAAAAGGCACTTGACTTAGAACAATTCTAAAACCATAAAGAAAGTAACTACATTAAATACCTTAGGGTATTGTGTAAGGAATGGAAAGATAAAGTCCGTCCCCGAATGAATGAAGCCATTGCAGGAACTACCACGGCCTAAAAACATGAACAGTCTGAAGGGAATCAGGGTAATGTTTGCTTACTACGCTAAGTGGATCCCTGAATTCTCGTAAAAAATACAACTCTTAGTGAAGGCGGATCGGTTCCCATTGGAAGAGAAGGTGTTGCAGAATTTATGCTAAATATGATGTGTCAGAAGGTGAAATTGTGTGAAGGCGTAAAATGTGCATGTACATTATGCATTTATCCACAAATAAATTAAACGAACATATGAAGACAATACAACTTGAAGAAATCAAGGAAAAAAATAACATAGTTCTAGATTTCAACAATAACATGAATTTATATATATATATATATATATATATATATATATATATATATATATATATATATATATATATATATTGTTTGAATAAAAGACAGACCACGTTAAGATTCCATGTAATAAGCTATTTCACCATAACCCCTTTAACAGGGTTCTGGATCATCAGACTTTATCATATGAGGCCGTATTCATTTCCGGCCCGTTCTCCGGATTACGACAGTTAGCCATAGATCATACCTCTAGGACGACTGTTGACCAAAATTAAAGAGCTCGTCCTGCCCACGAAACACGGCTATTCCCCACCGGTTGCTAACCTGATATTTCTAGGCCACAGGATCAGGATCAGGATCAGGATCAGGATGATGATGATGATGATGATGATGATGAGGAGGAGGAGGAGGAGGAGGATGATAATAATAATAATAATAATAAGAAGAAGAAGAAGAAGAAGAAGAAGAAGAAGTCCTTTACGACAACGTATTCGTTTACGGCCCGTTCTCCGGATTACGACAGTTAGCCATATTCGAGAATACCAGGAGCCCGTGTGATGTGAACCCTGCTTGTATTTTACCGAATAAAGCTTGGTGAACTTATCTTCCGAGTTTCAGTCTTCATTCTTGACAATTATTATTTCTTTAGCAAAGTTTTTTTCGCTTTCAACCGGAGATCTCGCATTACGAGTGTTCGCCATCGAGTCGTACGACTTCAGAGAAAGAGAGAGAAAGAAAGCACCTTTAGTATAATAGTTGAAGTGACAAGCAACGCACACTTCTGGAGCGATGGGATATTAGGCTTTATTCCGATTTTCCCAATGTAGGTCTTATCAATTATTATTATTATTATTATTATTATTATTATTATTATTATTATTACTGGTGGCCATTATTGAAGATCACGCGATGGACAGTCTTAAATTGTCATTACATTCCTCAAGAGATATTTAATAAAGTTAATCTTTTTTGGAATAAGGCCAAAAAGAGTAAAAAAAAAAAGAAAGAATAAAAGAGCCGGAAATATTGTATTATATTCTACACTTTGGTCGCTTACAACAGTACCGTAATTTGGAAAAGTCTTGAACTCGTCTTCGAAACTCCAGTTCATCCAATCTCGTCTTTGGAAGTGTTCCCAATTCCCCACTTATTATTGGCATTATATTCTTCATATTCCCCAACGGATTCAGTTTTCGAGAAAGATGTGATTTTACCATTTGATCACTTTGTTTTATTTTGGTTTGTAGCTGCAGTGGAGTAAGAGTAGCAGTAGTAGTGGTAATAACGATGGTGGAAATAGCAGGAGTAGTAGTAGTAGTAGTAGTAGTAATGGTGCTAGTAGGAGGAACAGTAGTATTAGTGGTAGTTAGGATAATGCTAGGAGTAGCAAAAGCAGTAGTGTCAGTAGGTATAGGGAGAGTGGGAGTAGTAGGAGTAATGATGGTGATGGAAGTAGGAGTAATGATGGTGATGGAAGTAGGAAGAGCAGTAGTATTAGTGGTAACAAAGTAATGGCGGCAGTAGGAGGAACAGTAGTGCTAGTAATAATGGTATCAATAGTAGTAGGTGTAATTGTGATATTTTGGGTCGGAGGAGCAGTAGTTTTAACAGTGATCGTGGGAGTAGGAGGAGCAGTACTATTAATAGTGGTAAGGGTGGGTGTAGATGGAGAAGTAGTGATGGTGTGAGTAAAGGTAGAATTAATGGTGAGTGTGGGAGTAAGATAAGCAGGAGTATTACTGGTAGTAAGTGTAATGGTGAGAGTAGAATGAGCAGTAGTGATAGTAGTGATATTATGAATAGTAGGAGGAGTAATGTAATGGTTGGAGTAGAAGGAGCAGTAGTTTTTGTAATGATGGTATGAGGAGTAGTAGGAGCAATGGTGATGACAGTAAGAGGGCACTAGTGTTAGTAGTGATGGTGTGAGTAGTAGTAGGAGTAATAGTGATGTTGTAAGTTAGGAGGAGCAATAGTGTTAGTAGTGATGGTGTGAGTAGTAGTAGGAGCAATGCTGATATTGGGAGTAGGAAGAGCAATAGTTTTAGCAGTGATGGTGTAAGTAGTAATAGGAGTAATGATGATATTGGGAGTAGGAGGAGGAGTAGTATTAATGGTAGTAAGTGTAATTGTTGGTGTAGAATGAACAGTAGTATTAGTAATAGTACTGTGAAGTGGGTGAAGTTGCAATATTAGTAATAGTAGTAATGGTATATGCAGAAGAAATAATAACAGTAGTATTAGTAGCAGTAATAGTGATAGTAGTAGTAGTAATAATAGCGATCGTGACGGTGAGAATGCATTAACAGTAGTATTTGTAGCAGTAATGATGATGGTGGGAGTTATTAAAATACTAGTAAGTAAGAATAGTTGTAGTGGTAGCAGCTGAAATGCTGGGATAGGAGCTGCAGTAGTGATTTTGCAAGCGTAGCTTACATGTGACACAAGGCCATAATTATAGGGCACCCAGTGAGGATCGAACTCACTACTCAATCGTAATTGTTCTAATGAGACAAGCTTGCTAATTATTATACCGCCTCGAGGTGCCCAAAGAGCTGCAGTAATATTAATAATGGTCGGGATAGGGATTTCAATAGTAGTAGTAGTAGTATTAGTAGTAATAGTAGTAGTAGTAGCAGCACTAGTAATAGTAGTTATTGTGGTCGGAGTATTGCTTTTATTTTCTTTCATTTTTATATTGTATTAATGCAAATTCTCTTTTCTTTCTGTTCTAATTGTTATTATTAAAGTTGCTTTGTCTCATACTATGGTCTTCTTTTCGTTCTTCTCGTCGTCTTTACTTCATAGTAAAATGGTTTTAATTATTAATTCGTCCTTCGCATCTTTTATCGATTTTCTTCTCCAAAGAGCAGTTTTGAAGGATCGCCATTTTTATCACTCTGTTCAGCGCCCAGAACAACAGTGGACGATGAAAATCTTGTGCCTACCGCCTTTCCACTCCTGAAAATAAAAATCAGTGAAAACCTGTTAATGTCTTCAAAGAAATTCACCAGGTTATGCTCCAACGCCAGCCAACAATCAGCCGCTGATAATATCCATAACTCCATCGATATTCGATACTCTTCTTCATTTACTGCTCGTGTCCGAAGCTTGCTGACAATGAAATTCGAATGGAAATCGATTGTTATTCATCGATTTTCTCTTGATTGATGTTTGTCGATGTTTGACTGGATTTTATAAGGTTTTTGTGTTGTCACTTTATTTCCTTTCTTTCTCAACTTTTTCTTTTATTTTTGCTTGTTTTCATTTTTTTTTCATTTTTTTCTTTTTTTTTTCTTATCTTTTTCACACCTTTTTCCATTTTACTTTTTCTTTCTTTCTTCTGCTTTCATAATCTTTTTATTACTTTTTCTCTCTTTCCTTTTTCTCATTTCTATTCTCTTTTTCTCTCTCTTTTTTCTGATGTTTTTTCTAATATCGTTTTTTTTCTATATTTTTCCATATTTTTATTCTTTTCTTTATTTTTCCTATTTTTGTAATTCTATTTTTGTTTTTTGTTTTTTGCTAAATGTTCGCTCAATACAAAGCCCAAGGGTCACTCAAGGTAGAGCGTTACTAAATAAAGTTGTTGTTTGTAAGTCGGAAAGCTAAGGTTGAAAATTATGAGGATCAGTGCAATATGTAACTTTTTGCTTTCTGTAGTCTGTATGCTTGAACTAGTAACCACAAGTTACTCCCCTTGATCCAGGAGTTTACGGAACGAGATTTTGACGTGGCGCGAGATTTAACAAACGGGAGTTCACCACGTGGTGCATATACTGTATAAACATTTTTACCGACATGAACTGGGAATAAAGAACTGCCAAGCGGATTTCCTTGTCTTTCATAGTGAAACAATCCACGTGGAAATCTTAGACATTCTTTTGCAATTCCTTGTTTCCTTCTTTTTTATTTTCTATTTCGTTTCTTTTTTTTCCTGTAACCATTTTTCTTTAACTTTTCCTTCATTTTTTGGCTTCTTTTTCTTCTTTTTATTTTTCCTTCCTGTTTTTTTCTTTCTTTTACAAGAATCTTTATTCTTTTTTTCTTTTTTTTTTTCATCTTCTTTTCCTGTTATTCTGTTCCGGTTTTGCTTCGTTCTAAAACATTCATTTATTCTTCGTTTTTTTTTTTTGTTTTTTTTTTTTTTATCACAATCACCCCAAGCAAGGCATTAATGCCACTAAAACACAAGGGGTTACAAGATGTGGAAGAATTAGAACCAGAAACATTAATGATGAGCAGAAAGAGAAAAGAGTAATCAGGTGGACAGCAGATAGCGATTGACATTGCATTTAATTTTTTGCAGATTAAAGTTCGTGGAATTCCACAAGCGGAAAGTGCGAGAGAATAAACTGTTAGCAAGAATTTAAGGTTACATCTAGCTAACACAACTGTAAATTTGTATATATCTGACTCCAGTCTAGTGCTGCACTTAAATTTAAAAAAAGACTCTAGGTACCATAGGGAAGACATTCGAACAATTACCATGAAAGTATATATAGAAAACACATACAGAGACAACCTTACGGGGGAGGGAAAGTGACTGGAGCTGATCCGCTAGATCAGGACCAATAATATTGCAGATTCTTCTTTGGATCTTATCAAGGAGCTCAACGTAAAGAGGAGGGGCACCTGACCATAAGTAGCAGCAATATTCTAAGCATGATCGAATGCTAACTCTTTTACGTTCTAGAATTCTTTTCTAATTCCTTCTTCTTTCCCGTTTGTCAGTTGGTCCTTCCTGTTGTCTGTCTTTAAATTTCTGTTCTTTAATTAACTTTTATTCAAGTCACCTGAAGAAGGGCGGAGCGTACAAACAGCCGAAACGTTGTAAGTATGGCAACGAAGAACGTTTTTACGTTTGTCATTTTGTTTATTCGATTCCTGCTTTTCTAATTTTTAATTTTTTTTTTTTTTGTCATGCTCTCATTCAAGCGATTATGGTCTGCATTTTATTATACTATCATCATTGGCACCCTAGCGCAAATACGCGCGCACATGCATAAGTACATATGCCCTCACAAAAATACACACGGACTTAAGCATAAATTTTAAAATCATGTCAAATAATGCCACGGGCTTGTAAATCACCGGTACCATAATGGGTGTATCCACCGGGTAACATGTCGTTTCCACCGGGTAATAGGTTGTGAGTATCCACTGGATCACATATTGGGCGTTTTCCACAAGTAAAATTATTATTGTTTCCGACAGGTTGAGTGTTTCGACTGGGTAACATATTGGGTATTTTCATCAAGTAACATGTTTGATGTTTCCGACGGATAACATGTCGAGCGTTTCGACTGGGTAACATATTGGGTATTTTCATCAAGTAACATGTTTGATGTTTCCGACGGATAACATGTTGAGTGTTTTGACTGGGTAACATATTAGGTGTTTTCATCAAGTAACATGTTTGATGTTTCCGAGGGATAACATGTCGAGTGTTTCGACTGGGTAACATATTGGGTGTTTTCATCAAGTAACAGGTTTGATGTTTCCGACGGATAACATGTCGAGTGTTTAGACTGGGTAACATATTGGGTGTTTTCATCAAGTAACATGTTTGATGTTTCCGACGGATAACATGTCGAGTGTTAAGACTGGGTAACATATTGGGTGTTTTCATCAAGTAACAGGTTTGATGTTTCCGACGGATAACATGTCGAGTGTTTTGACTGGGTAACATATTGGGTGTTTTCATCAAGTAACATGTTTGATGTTTCCGACGGAAAACATGTCGAGTGTTTAGACTGGTTAACATATTGGGTGTTTTCATCAAGTAACATGTTTGATGTTTCCGACGGATAACATGTCGAGTGTTTAGACTGGGTAACATATTGGGTGTTTTCATCAAGTAACATGTTTGATGTTTCCGACGGATAACATGTCGAGTGTTTAGACTGGGTAACATATTGGGTGTTTTCATCAAGTAACATGTTTGATGTTTCCGACGGATAACCTGTCGAATGTTTTGACTGGGTAACATATTGGGTGTTTTCATCAAGCAACATGTTTGATGTTTCCGACGGATAACATGTCGAGTGTTTCGACTGGGTAATATATTGGGTGTTTCGGACGCGTAACACGTGTTTCGACCGGGTGATATATTAGGTGCTTCCACCGAGTAATACGTTGATTGTTTCCACCGGGTAATATTTTGAGTGTTTTGAACGAGTAACATGCTGGCTGACTTAGCCAAGTAACATGTTGGGGGTTTCGGTCACGTATCATGTGTTCTTCGGCCGGGTAATATATTGGATGTTTCCACCAAGTAATACGTCGATTGCTTCCACTGGGTAACATATTGAGTGTCTCGACCGGGTAACATACTGAGTGACTTGACCAGGTAACATGTTGAGTGTTTCGATCGGGTAACACACTGGATGACTCAACCAGGTAAAATATTGGGTGTTTCGGTCCGCTAATATGCTGGCGGTTTCCGACAGGTTACCTGCCGGGTATTCCTATTGAGAATTTCGACTTGACAACAGGGTGTGTGTTTTGGCCGGGTAACATGTTGAGCGTTTCGACCGGATAACATGTTAGATGTTTCTGCTAGGTAACATTTTGATTGTTTCGACCGAACAATATGTTGGGTGTATTGACTTGGTAATGTTAAGCGTTTTGGTCGGAAAATACGTTTGGTGTTTCCACCTGTTATGGCACAGCCCTCCGTCCTGATGGTAGGACGGCTTGCGTTCTTCAACGACCCCCAGAGCTATGTAGGCGGGGGTTTCGGCCCTTAGCAGGTCCAACCAAGCTCAACAGGTCTGTGGGATAGGAGCCAGAAGAAAGACACACCCTGGTCCTCCAGATAGGGGGTTGTGCAGTAGACAAACAACGTACTCAATTAAAAACCAACATGTTACAGAAATCTAAATGATATCTTCAAACAACGACATGGCTGAGGAAGAGTCCTCCAGAATGGAGCGTATGACGCGTGTTAGTGAAAATCCCCCGGGAAGGTAGCCGGCGCGACATAGGCCGAGCTGAATAGGACCACCCGGACACGCGTCCGTTGGAGAGGTGTTGTTGTGGCCCTATGTTCCCCAAGATGATTAAGATGTATAATGAAAATGAATGTATAGCACAAAACTTCAGCCTACTTGTCTTTTGCTTCTAACTATATTTTTGCATATTTTAACTGGATAACATTCTGGAGTACGTTTATTGGAAAAGCAAAGTTGATCTTGTCTCCACCTGTTCGCCACCTCTGTCAAAACATTCACGTGATCTTCAACGGTTAATTCTAGAAATGCTAAGACTTCAATAGAAGTAAGTTTATCAGAACGATATAAACATAATCTTGACAACGTAAGATACGGGGAGGGTGACAATTTGCTGTGGGGGGACTCATAATGAAAACTATAAAAACTCCCAAAATATGTAGAAAAGCGAAAGAAAAAAAAGGACTAGCCATTAATTTTAAAAAGACAGAATATATGATCATCATTTAGGCCACGAATTAGATACATTAGAATCAAGCAAGTACGCGGACGTTTTTTAATCAAATTCACTGCAAGCAAGGTACTAAGACACAAAGGGTTATTGTGTGTGATAGAATTTGAAAACAGAAAATAATATGAAGGAGCGAGAACAATAAAATAGAAAACAGGATGACAGAAGGTAACGATTGACATTGCATTTAATTCTTTGAAATCAAAGTTGGCCGGAAAGCGTGAAGACCGAAGATAGTTCCTTAAACAAGAAGTGCGATAGAAGAAACTGCTATCATAGAATTTACGGTTGCATCTAGACAATTCAACTGCAAATTGATGAGACCTTGTTGCCAATCTAGTATTGTGATTGAATTCTTAAAGTCTAGCGAAGAGTTCAGCCGAACAAATACCATGAAAGTAGAGAAAAAGGCAGAGGGAAGCAACTTTACGGCGGTGAGAAAGTGAATGAAACCGAGATGCCAGATCATGACCAATAATATTGTTTGTTCTTCTTTGGATTTTATGAAGAATCTCTAAATAAATATCAGTATCACAGGACCAACTAGATGAGTAGTTTAATGAAAAGCGAGAGAAAGTTCAAGACAGAAATCTGAAAGCGAATCGGAATAGCGAGAAAGGCATTCCAGAAACTAAGCAAAGTATTAAGAAACAAGAAAATACTCCTGTATCGTATCTACCCTTCTGTATGCTGGGATATTTCCTTACAGATAAAGAAGATACTGGAAGCGACAACGATGTGAATTTAAGACGGCTGCTAAGAATACCAGGGAGAGAACAGGTGAATGATTTGTTTTTTACGGTTTATCAACCGTTTTTAATTTTTTTTACGTCTTATAAACTCTTCTGGGAGTATTTAAAACCGAAACATATTTTGAGAATTGTAAGAATAATTTTTTTAGTTTCTTTTTTTTGGGGGGGGAGTAAATATTGCATTGTTTGAAGATAAAAAAATATTTTCTAGATAAAACTACTATTTAACCCATAGCTGGAGAAGAACGTAAGCAAAGAGAAAATTATATAGAAAATGGGAGCTAGAAAGTCAAAATCAGAAATAGAGTGTTGAAGGCTTTGGGACATACTATGAAGAAGGAAAACTTGGAAAATATAAAACTCGCAGGGTAGATTTAAAAGAAAAACAGAGGGAAACAGTGAATAAATTACTGTTGGTGTTTGTGTGAATCTATGACAGAGCAGAGACAAGGATCAACTAAACGGTCGAATCTAAAAGCTTTAAAATAAAGAGAATAGGAAGTTATGGAGGACCATGATCCCCCACATCCTGAATTTAAAAGACACACAAATGATGCAGAAGTCTGAAGAAACCGGACAAAACACACGTCACGTCGGCGAAACGCGTCGTTTAATAGCTTTTACACTTTGCCTCATTGTTTGCTTCGGATATATTGCACAACCCACAAACACGCATATATATATGTGTGTACGTATGTTTCTGCGATTTTACGAAGATATATATGTGTGTGCATGGGTATATAAATGTATGCACACACACACACATCATTCATACAAAAAACAAATATACCGGTTAATGATTTAAATGGCGAGAATACATCTTCTCAAACAATTTCAATGATTCATGTAATTATAAATTGAACTGCACCTATAATCGAAAAAAAAAAAATATTTATAATATATATATATATATATATATATATATATATATATATATATATATATATATATATATAGTAAAATTTCCCAGAAAAAAATGCTATGGGTAAGACAAATTGGTATAAGAATTTGAAAAAATCTTAGTTTTTGCCAACGCATTTCGTTATCTGACTTCATCCAGGCAAACAATGAAAGCGAAATGTTTTTGTTCTCATAGTTACATTAAGTCCCAAATTTAATTGTTCTGGGAAATTTTACTATATTGTCGACATGGAAACAAAAAACAAACTCTTAATATAAATGGAGTTACCATTAACCAGAAAGAGGCATACGCAGGAGCGTCTTTCTCTTTTTTAAAATTTTGGATTTCATGTAACTATGACAACAAAAACATTTCGCTTATCATTGATAAAGGCGGAAGACGAAACGCGGCGGCAAAAAGAAAGAATTTTTTCACACACACACAAACCCACACACACACAGACACACACACAAACACACACACACACACACACATATATATATATATATATATATATATATATATATATATATATATATATATGAAGAAATATAGTTTTAAGGTGTGAATATATTTATGAGATAAAGTGCTCAATATCAGGATAGAACGTATGTAAATATAAAATTGAACATTGAAGTCAACAGGCTGTTTCATGCTGGACGCAATCGTCCTGATGATTGCGTCCAGCATGAAAGAGCCTGTTGCCTCCGAGTGTTGACTTCAATGTTCAATAATATATATATATATATATATATATATATATATATATATATATATATATATATATAGGCGTGTGTATGGTTTCTTTCTAAAATATGTTTATAAATGCCAATTGCGTTACACTTTTATCATAACAAGCCTGCCAAATTGAAAGTGACGTCGCCATCTTTATTTATTTCAAGTATCACATATGTTGCACCGAATAACACTTAAATTAATGTCAATATAAACCGTGAATCGAAAATACTCCTAAGTTTAAGTTGGGCGTGGTGTAGGGCTACGTCTTTTGCGGGATGGGGGAGTCTCCAGAGGCAAGAGACTAAGTACACTTTCCCTAGCTCTTTTGCTAAACTATAGTGACATTCCATTACTTTGGATACTTACGGTGACGGGATTACATCCAAGGGAGATAAGTCTTGAAAAGATATAATTTATGCAGTCCTAATATATAAAAACTATCCGATTGTCCTTCTCGTGGTCGTCTGCGTAATCCAATGGCTCTTAGAGCTATGCCGTCGGGAGTTCTAAACTCCTGGTAGGGCCACACTTGGCGGCAAGGTCGAAAACGAGGGCTCATACTAAGAGCGACCATCCACAAAAAAAAACAAAAAAAAAAAAAAAACTTTTAGAGTTGAAATGGCTATTGTATCTCGCTAGTTCTAAAGTAAAACAGTGAAGCCTAGTAGCACGCTTAAATTCATTTAGTCGGGACGCCAAGAAAAAAACTTCAACCAAGCAGTTACCATGAAAATATCTGTAGAACAGACGGTGAAAAAATGACTGAAGACGATGTGCTTTGTCAGGACTGATCGTATTACAGAACGTTCTCCGGAATTTGTCAAGAATCTCACAATGTACAGCAGACCAGCTATGGTAACAGTATTCAAATCACGGACGAATGGTAGATTTATAAATACAATATAGGTTCAGATGAATGTAGTTTTAGTTTAGTTTTTTCAACCACTTGTGCTGTTAGACGTCGCAGTCGTCTGTCAACAGCAAGGTGAATAGCCTGGAGGAAAGTTATCTCGTGCGCTCTGAGAGAGTCTACCACTGAGTCGCTCCAGCGTCGTTTAGGTTTGCCTCTCGCTTTCCAGCCAGAGTACATGAGGGTGTATGCTCGTAGGGCTGGTTGGCTGATAGGCATACGGGTGAGTCAGATTTTTAACTAAAATTTCGAACGTTTTAAAAAAGGATAACAGAATGTAAATAATAAACACATTCTTTATTCTTTCAATAATAACAAAGATTTTAACAAAAAAATTTGTTTTTATTAAGTTTGGGGAATTTTTTCATCGAATCAGTGGTGGTGCTTATTTAAATGTATTGAGTTTAATACTGTTAGAATGATACATCATTATTATTATATGGTAGACAAATATCTCGTGGGCTTTGAGAGTGTCTGCCACTGACGCGCCTGCCTTTCGCTTTACAGCCAGAGTACATTAGGGTGTATGCTCGTAGGGCTGTTTGGTTGATATGTATACGAGTGAGGTGTTCGAACTATTTGATTCTCTGTCGTTCAATATGTTATATGATCGGTTGCACCTACCATATCTCTTATTGCCCCATTCCTGATCTTGACTTGCCTGGTCTTTCCGCAGACATTTCATCTCATAAGTGATCAGTTTCCTCTCAAGGGTCTTTTAAGGGGTAATGTCTGGCACTGGTATGTCAGCCTAACCCCTCGTACTTGTCGTGAGAGGTGGAAACAGGTAATGCTGGCCATTGGGGCACTGGTGAAGCTGTGACTGGCTTAGCAGACCGACAGTGGATAAAAATTTGCTCAAGGAAACAAAAGGATGAATGTAGTTATATAGTAATCATAGATTTGTCTATTATAATCATTTCACAGTGGAAAATGTTAGCCCGATATGCCTCAATGAATGTTCCTGAAGATTTTATTTAGATTTTCTCATTTATATTTTATTGAAAAAATATTACTTGATTCTAATACCACCCTGCTGTTCCCTACCACCCCTTGGTTTCTCACTGCCCCTACAACCGTACCGTTTTTTATCACCGGACCCTGGATCTTTCCACTAGCCCCAGGGGAGGGGATACCGTTTACTTTGGAAATCCCAGGTCGAGATGAAGACCTCAAAAACAAGGCAACCTTTGAAAATGAAACATACTACAACAGTGAAGAGTCCAGATGAAACAACCTGTTAATCATCGCTTGGTGACTGTCAAAAACAAAGCCGAGTCACGTGTGGTAACGTGATCGCAAGAACAAGGGAGCCTTAAGAATCTACATGTCAAACGACTTATGCTTTTACATATATATCACTAAAACTTTTATTCTTTTTAGGCAACTTGAATAGGAGTACGGTCATCTTGATTTAAGAATAGAAAAGTTTAACATAACTTCTGTATAGAAACACTAGAAAACTACCCAGCTCCCTGTGAAATTTTAAATGATTATGAGTGTCCACTATCAAACTAACAATTTCTAAGGCCGTTATTAGCACTGAAACGACAACCAAAATATCTACCAATTCAGCCACTAATAATAATAATAATAATAATAATAATAATGGCGACGACAATTTAACGCGACAGCAACGGTTATATGTCTTTAGGACAACAATTATCGACGAATAAAATGTTCTATACATTGGGACAGCAGGAGGCAGGATTTCTCCAGGCGACGTTCCGGGGGAAAATCGATGGCCTCCACCCCTTAAACCTTCTGACCAAATGAGAACTGGTCAGAAATGACCTTAGAGGTCACAGCTTAAATGTGGCTTAATCTGTTGGCAAGAGGACGAGCCGGGAACAGCGGGAAAGTAATAGACACGAAGGACGAGAAAAGCAAGAAACCCCTACAGCGTTCATGAAACAATAAAAAATGGCCGGTATGCACCTGTGGACGGCAAATCACAAAAGATTATTTTTCTTTCTTTCTTTCTTTCTTTCTATCTATCTATCTATCTATCTATCTATCTATCTATCTATCTATCTATCTATCTTTCTTTCTTTCTTTCTATCTTTCTTTCTTTCTTTCTTTTCTTGTATCCCTCACTATACCTTTTTTATTTCTAATTTTCTCCATTTTTCTAACTCACTGTCTTTCTTCTTCTCTCCCATTTCAATTTCAGATTATGGACTTCTTTCTCTTTTTTCTTTCTTTCTTTCTTTCTTTCTTTATTTCTTTATTTATTTATTTTCTTGTTACCCCCTCACTATGTCATTTCTATATTTCATAGTTTATTTTTCTTCCTACCTTTCAGTTACTCTCTTTATCTTCTCTCATTCCAATTTTAGATTAAGTTCTTTCTTTCTTTCTTCTTTCTTTCTTCTTTCTTCCTTTCTTTCTTTCTTTCTTTTTTCTTTCCTTCTTTCTTTCGTTCTTTCTTTTCTTGCCTCCCTCGCTCTACCCTTTCTGATTGCCATTTTTTGTTCTTTCTTTCTTTCATTCATTTTTTTATTATAATATTTCCTCGTTTCCTTACAATACACTTTATAGATTATTGGTTATTCTGTTTCTCAGAGTTACAAACGTGTATATATATATATATATATATATATATATATATATATATATATGTGTGTGTGTGTGAGCGCTCGCGCGTGTGTGCGTGGTGTGGGTGAAAGTGAGAGAGAAAGGATATATATATATATATATATATATATATATATATATATATAGTTTTCTATCCTCTATCGTTTTATCCATTCCATTTATTTCCTTTTTCCTCCTTCTCACACCTCATGCATCATATATTCCTCTCTCTCTCTCTCTCTCTATCTATCTATCTATCTATCTATCTATCTATCTATCTATCCAATTCAGTAATTATCACTTTTTCATTATTTTTTCCTCTTGTTTTTCTCTCTTTCTTTCTTTCTTTTTCTTTCTTTCTTTCTTTCTTTCCTTCCTTCTTTCTTTCTTTCTTTATTTATTTTTTCTCTCTCACATCTTCTTTCTTTCTCCCCCCTTCTCTCTCTCTCTCTCTTTCTTTCTTTCTCATTCCAATCCAGTAATGATCACTAATTTTATTTGTGCCGCTTCTTCTTTCTTTCTTTCTTTCTTTCTTTCTTTCTTTATTTATTTATTTATTTATTTATTTTTCATCTCCCTAGCATTTTGAATCTGATCCTTTCTAGTGTGTTTCCCTCATTGGTTATTTAGTTATTTAGTTTACCCTCATTGGTTATTTAGTTATATTCTGGAATAGCTTCGAATGGCCATTGCTCATATGGATGCAAAGGCGCCAAATAGATTGATGCTGGAATTGACGAAATTGACGGTTGCCAATTGTTGGTGTCATTTCTCTTTAATCAGACATAATAAAGCATAATCAGCATTTTAATATTGGTTAGAATCTAGTACCGTAGCCATTGTGTAGCGAACTTTTTTGTCTCGAACTTTTAAAACCATCTTGTTCTCCAGTACATAACAACAGATATTCATATATATATATATATATATATATATATATATATATATATATATTACAAGAATCAAAACTCTGCGCAAACAAAATTTTAAAGTTGCATTAACCTACGAACCACTGAATGAATTTTATGATTATGTTGATTTAAAAGAACTGATCCGAAGTTCAAATTTTCGGGATAACAACTGAGACATTACTCTATTTATTGAACAACTTAGATCATGCCACATTGACTACAACAAAAAATTCTCAAATTACTATATTAGTAAAAAAAAACGCACTCTCTTAAATTTTCAAAAAAATTCAACCTTAGCGTTGCGACCGCACGCTCCAAAAGTTTTTATCCGTTAACAATAACACATTTCTAAAAAAAACATATTTCTATTCGCATTTAATATTTCGTCTCCAATGCTACCTGGATTTACTAAAAAAAAAAAATCATTTCCATGCCTCAAGATGACTGTATATACAGTTGAAAGTACTAGCAAATTAAAAAAAGACCTTATACAACTTTAGTTATTTAGTTATTTAAAACAAGGATTATAACATTTATCGAGTAGTTCGTAGGTTAACACAACTTTAAAATTTTGTTTACGAAGATTTTTCGCCATTTTATATCATTAACTTTACTAATCTACTATTTGTATGAATGATTCATTGTAATATAAATTGAACTGCACCACACACACACACACACACACACACACACACATATATATATATATATATATATATATATATATAAATTATTTTTAAAAAAATATGATTTCTTCGCTACATAAGAGTTCTCATGTTTCAAAAACGAGAACCGAAATATAAGCTCTACTTGTGTATGGAGCACTGTTTTTTAAAAATAAAAACAAAAATACTAAAGAACCGTGGGTTATTTACCACACGTGTTCTTTCCTATTTTTCTACATACCTACACACACACACACACATATATATATATATATATATATATATATATATATATATATATATATTCAATCCCTTATACCAAGGAATAAAATCCATTCTTAAATGTCCTTCGAAAGTGCTCAATAAATAATTTTTACAATAATGATGAGAATTTTTTTTTAAAATATCACTGAACCACCAGCTTATATTGTTTCACTCCGAGGAACAGTAAGCTGATTTTGTCACATAAGTAATTGATTTTCTTGAAAAATAGTTCTCTCTCCCTCCCTTTTTCTCTCTGTCAGTCTGCGTCTCTGTTTCTCTGTTTCTCTCTCTCTCTCTCTCTCTCTCTCTCTGTATATATATATATATATATATATATATATATAGAGAGAGAGAGAGAGAGAGAGGGGGAGGGGATAGATAGATAGATAGATAGATAGATAGATAGATAGATAGATAGATAGATAGATAGATAGATCATAAAAATATAGTTTTATGGTATGCTATATATATGGGCATAAGCACTCAATAACCAAGATAGAGCGTATAAAATATAAAAGTGGATACTGAGCTCAACACCAAGTGGTCACCAACTGTCTTCCCTTGATATTGACATCAGTGTATACAACTGACAGTTTAGATATTTCTGAATGAGCTGGGATCCATGCTTAATATCCATATGAAAGTCTCAATATGAGTTCTTAGATTCATCTGTTTTAGTTTTGTAGCATCTTGTGGCGTTGGGTAAAACTATCCCTAAAGCAGCTTATTCTATGTCCAATTTCCTCTATCTCCTATACTAAATTTGTTATAAATTTTTATATTTATTATAAAAGCTCCGAAACTCCATCGTTGGTGGAGTTCAGCCTCTGGATCCGTTCAGTAGGAACGAACAATAACTAATGTCGTAAGGACAAAATAATTTGTAGATATCCCATATCAACCAAGCAATGGCCATCTGATGAAGGCCAGAGCGTACGTGGCCGAAACGTTGTGTCTACACATACCTGAAATAATGCCGAAACTTTCTTTGTTTGCGTTTGAATAAAAAAATATTCTTCCTTAGGGCAAAATATGGTAAACATTGTTCCGGTGTTTTCTTTTAAAAAATTTTGGGAAAAATTTATCACTGAGATCTATGACACGTTAAGGAATCCTGACGAAGAACAGAAATAAACTGGTATGCAAATAAAGATTTTTGAACGAACTAGTCAATGAATTGTAAGAGACCTATAGAAATTCTATGAAATTCTATATTTTGGTTATTTACCTTCGCAACGAAAAATTCTTAAGGAAAATGGAAACAAAAAGATACCAGAATCAGAAAGAGACATCTGACGTGTTCTTGACAGTTAATAAGAAAGTAGGAGTTGAATAATTTGAAAAATATTAAAGGCGAAAATGGACAGGGACAGTCATCAGGTCACCTATCTGGCCAACTTTTGTAAACGGATGGTGGAAGGAGAGGTGAGAAGAAAAATACGAAGGTTACTAAGTGCTAAACGGATGGGAAATTGTGGAGAGTCTTGATGGCGCACGTCCTGAAGAGAGACGTTACATAGAAGAAGAAGAAGAGTTCTCTACTATTACTAGTAAAAACTGTGTTTGAGAAAATGCCAAAAATAAAGCAGATGCAAGCGGGCAGAATTCATCCTCAAAGAGCATCCTGATGAATATGATGTGGAAAAATAAAAATTCTTCAATTTTTATAGGCTTTAAGACTACAGTCTTTTTTTTTTGTATGATCTACAACGACAAACAATGCAAAGACTTTCTCACAGATTTTGCGGTGAAAGAATTATGATCTGAGATTATTAAATCTGAATGTGATGTCTCTCCAAATGCTAAGCAAAGCATTAAGAAACGCGTAAATTTCTTTAGAAACATAGAAAAGATTGCTGAATTGCTTTAGATAAATGACAGTGAAGGCTAGATATTTTCTTCTCAGATGAAGAAGCTACTTGAACCAACAGTGGCGTGGTTCTAAAGAATGGTGAGAATACTCTGGAAGAGCACGTGAGCATCAAGGAAACTTTAAGAAAAAGGGGAAACAAAATGTTATATTGAAAAAAATATATCGGTGTTTGTAAAATCACGAAAACATCGAAAATTTATTCAAAATCGATCTGTTTTAAACCAAAAACAAGAGTTTGAGGATAGCTTACGTAGCCTACACTAAGATATATCAAAAATTGATTTTACCTATAATTGAAGTTTTGTTTGGACCATCAGACCGAACGATTTCAACCTATGAAATCAATTGAAATAAACTGGCACATCGATTAGTTCAATTTCTATTAACATAGATACGAATATGCTTAACGTTTATAACTAATCGAGCAACGAAGGTCGTATTGAACGGGCACAGCTCCAGATTGTTTCATACTAACGCCGCCCCCTACCCAAATTCTAGGGCTTTATCCTTGGACCTACGCTTTTTCTCGTATTCATCACACATTTCACAGATGTCAACAATCCCCAACTACGTATTTATCCAGATGACACTATCATTTACTCCAGTCTTAGTAGCATTCCAAACCTGGCAACTACTGTTGAAAAGGACCAGCAATCAGTGGTTAAATGGGGCAAGAAATGACTTGTAAGTTTCAGCGCCTCCAAAACGTAACTTCCATTTAACCACATCAGAAAACCTTTTCTGACTACCATAAGGTTGAGTAATGCTTAACTCCATGAGAACGACACCTTCCTGGCCTCACGTTTTCCAATGACATGAATCAGAGCGATGGTATCGAATCAATTGCTACGTCTACTGCAAGGAGATTCGGTTCACTGTGTCGTGCCAGAAATGTTTTCTCGTCATAATCCATATTACACTTTTATAAATCTACCATTACTCCGGGTATTGAATACTGTTGCCATATCTGGTCCAGTGCTCCTAATGTGCATGTCGATATTCTTGACAAAATCCAGAGAAGGGACTGTAATGCAATCGATCCTGACAAGGCACCTGATCTCCAGTCACTTTCTCAACTTCTGTCTGTTCTACAAATGTTTTTATGGCAACTCATCGAATGAGCTAATGTTCCTGACGCCCAAACTACAAGAATCTAAGAGTGCTACAAGATTGGCAACCGTGTGTCACTGTTTTAGTGTTGAATTGGATGTATGCAAA